CCATTGGCCATGATGCTAATGGTTCCCTCTGTTATCAAGAACACTTGGGCCATGGCGGTGATGGTTCCAACCGTTATTAAGAACACATCCAACGTGAATTAATATAGAAACTTATGTTAACAAAGGTGGTTGTTATGATGGTAGCCTACACCACAAGTTTCCCTAAGTACACCACTGCTATCATGTTCACATTCCTAATAGTCGTCAACTGATGTGCCACCACCACGGTTGTACTATATCACTTCTACCAGTGCTTCTTGAATGACTGGTTCCGATTCGGCATCCAAGGCACTCGTAGCCTCATCGAGGAGGAGGATTCTCAGGTTCTTCAAAATAGCTCTTGTTATTTCTATTCTTTGCTTTTTGCCTTCTTCAAAGTTGAGTTCCATGCTCTCTCACCATAGATAAGGGGAAAGAGGAGACATGTTGGCAGAGTATGGAACTCAATTTTCCGAATGGCAAAGAGCAAAGAATAGTAATAGCAAGAACAGTAGCGCAAGAACACATCTGACCTATCCGCAAATGCAAACATTTTGTAAAATGGCACTTTCTATTGATCGGCAGATTTCTTCTTCTTGTTGCTTCCATGTTTGTTGCTGTTGTTCCTTCTTTTTCTTGGCGACTTTTCTCTTCTAGTTAAACAGCTTGCACAAATTATGCTACGATTAAAGGATCCTCTTCGAGAGAAATTTGGACTGTTTAAAAAAAATTCAAGAGATTAAATTCAAGAAATTAAGATAAATTTATTTTTGTTTTCTGTCAATGGAGCTAGCCCGTTTGACTGCGAGGAGCTGATGTGATTTAATATTACTAGACGGTTAAATATTCGATACAATATCTTTAAATTATGATTGCAATTTTAAATCGTTCTAATTAAATTTTGAAATATTAATGTTATTTAATTTATTTCTTCACAATAATTATTGATTTAAATAATAAATATATTGAACCTATTAAACTATTTGAGTGATTAAAGAGGTATTGTTTTTTTTAGAGGTCCCGGGTTCGAGTAATAGTGTCTACATGATGTGTAATCATTGTTAATGACTAAAAAAAATTATGAACATTTATTTTTTTATAATCACCCTAGATTATTAAAAAATATATATCAAATATATTCATGACATGTGGATTATTTTTTTTTAAAAATAAAAATTTATTGTATCAACATCTTAAATATGTTATATTAGAAACTAAAAACATTTTGATTATTAATAATATAGTTATTTTTAAATTTAGATTGTTGATGTAATAAGTATAAACATATTTGAAATTAATCAAACGTTTTAAAATTTGAATTAATTTATAATTTAAAATTTAAGTCATAGTTTAATGACATAAAGGGACACTAATCCTTTGTAAAATTCAATTATGACAAAAAAACAATTATTAGTATTGGATTTGATTTAAAAAGATAGCATTTTCAGTTAATAAAATTGAATAATTCAGTTTCCAAATTAAATTATTTAAGTTATTTAATGTGATGTAATCTTACCGAAAACTCAACAAAACAGAAAAAAAATAGAACTTAAAGTATAATGTCTCATAAAAATGAAAACATCAATAAGACACAATCTTCAATAAAAAAAAATACCTCATGAATCATTGGTTGCTCTTTAAACACTGAATTACCATGAGAGAGACTTTTTTTTTTAAAATCCAAAAATGATAATTTTTGGTGTAGATCTAAAGACATGCACAAGAAATCATAAGAATGAGTACATGAATCTTAACAACTAATTTAATTTTTTCACTATCTATTCCATCAAAATTTATGGAGATGGAGTATCGGCGATCAAAAAATAAATAATTTTGAAGTTGACTTTTGAGTTATGCCTTGACTTCTTACTTATAACGTATACGATCCAAGCTGAGTCGATGAAGACAATGCGAAATTTGGTGGAGTAGAGGGCCTTCTTCGTGATGAAGAAGGTTAAACTGTACTCACCTTTTCTCGTAGCGCTGGCACATGTTCTGCTTTTTCGATGGAAATCCTTGCGATCAAAACCAATATTAGTATCTTCATGGAGTCAATCTGGTTCAATAAATATAAACTGATCATTGAAATTGATTCGAAGCGATCGGTGGAGTGGCTATCATTCCATGCTAAGCCCCCCACTCTTTTCTGTAAGGAGGTTAAATTCATCAAGGATCTAATATCTGCGGGTTGGCTTTCGATAATGCATATCTCAAGGGGAACTAATATTGAGGCAGATTTGCTTGCCAAAAAAGGGAGCGAATGAAGATCGAGTTAAAGGCTTTGCTGGAACGGATCATTAGAGGCTATGTTGTCCTTATTTGTAATATTAAATAAACCATTGGATATGTCCTTAGACGTGTTGTGGCCTTCTTTTGTATGATAGGTGTAGCATCCACGCGGGTGGTGATGGCCTAGAGATGATGCGCCTTCTTCCTTGGGGCCTCAGCTTTCATGCTTTGGTCAGGTTTCTCATTAGTGCCGGTTGGTGTGGCATTTCTTCGTGTGATGTGGTTGCCTAGTGTTCTTGTTTATATTTGGGGTTTTGTATGTTTGATGTCATTGTATCGAATAATTTTCTTGATATTTTAATAAATAATTTGGGCATTCTTTTCCTCCTCCCGCTATCTGGTGGGTTGCTCTGGCTCCTATAGGATATGAAGGGAGTTTAAAGAAGCCCCTTTACATTTAATAATAATAATAATAATAATAATAATAATAATAATAATAATAATAATAATAATAATAATAATAATAGATAGTTTCGGGAGACAGAAAAGTGATAACGTAGACGATATTCGTGTTGGAGAAAGCGATAACGTAGACCATATTCATGATAGAAAAACATAGGTAAACGAAGAAGTTTTGTGATGATACCTTGCTCCACAAGTTTTCCCAAGTGCACCATTACTATAACGTCTGTTGATAGTTGTCAACCAATGTGCCACCACCATGGTTGTACTATTGGCCATCATTTTTACCAGTGCATCTTAAAGGATTCTTTTTAATTCGGCATTCAAGGCACTTATAGCCTCATCGAGGAGAATTCTTAGGTTCTTCAAAATGGCTCTTACTATTACTTTTCCTCACTTTTCCCTCTTGAAATGTAAGTTACATGCTCTCCCATCATGGATAAGGGAAAAAATCAGACATGTTGTGAGAGCATGGAACCCAACTTTCATGAGGGCAAAGAAAAAGAACAGCAATAGCAAGAGCCACAGATTTGGGTGCCTGTCTTTCTCCGATCACCTTCCGACATGCATGTTACCTCTATAAAGTACCAACAAGTATGTACGTAGTTCAATTAAAAATATAAAACCTATTAGTATTATTAATCAAATATGACTACACAGTAGGGTATATGTATATAAACTTGAAGCAATATTTCCTACCATAATTTTAACTTAGGTCCACCCTTTGTCAGCCATAATTACATGAAAATTTAAATACAATATATTGAAAAGACTTTTAATGCATTAACCATGGATGAATGTTTAAAACAAACAAAACAATGAATCAAATAATTTCAGATGAAGAACATTTCGATTAAATAGTAAAGATTTCAAGACATTTTATTTTTTAGGATTTCAGTTTCAAAATCATGTTTAGCGATTTTCAGTTGACATTTCAATGATACCATTGCTTTCACATTTTATTTTTTGAGATTTCAGTAATTTCAGATGAACAAAGTTGGTTTTTAAGTCGGTACCTTGCTCCACAAGTTTCCCCAAGTGTACCACTACTATCATGCCCGCATTTGTGATATTGGTTAACCGATGCCGCCACCACCACAGTTGTTTGTTCTATTGACCGTCCCTTTGACCATTGATTCTTGAACGATTCATTATGATTCAGCATCCAAGGCACTCATAGTCATAGCCTTTTTGAGCAGGAGGATTCTTGGGTTTTTCAAGATTACTTTTGCTATTGCTTTTCTTTGCTTTCTCTCTCATGAAAGTTGAGTCTCCATGCTCTTCCACCATGGAAAAGAGGAAAGATCATATATATTGGGACAACATGGAACTCAACTTTCAGGAGAGAAAAAGCAAAAAAGGGTAATAGCAAGAACAATAGCACAAGAAACATAGGCGAAAGAGAGGGGGGAGATGCAGTTAAAAAGGTAAACAAATTCACAAAATACAACGTAAATAATGTCTAATTACTAACATTATCGTTATATGTTATAAATTGAAATATTAGTCATTATATTTTAATTTATTAAAATTTAATCCTTAATATGGAATTGATGGAAACCCTAAACGCCGACGACAGAGCTATCAAGAAACCTAGACACCACCTTGACAAACCACCGGGCAATCTTAAGGAACATGAGGATTTGGCAATGAAAGTTGATGCTTTGCCGACGACCTTCACATCTTACCGTGATTCCGAAAATGATATGGAAGATGGGATTGAGAAGGTGAGAAACATGTTCGGTCATCAAAATTGATTCCAAATGTGAGAAGTAAAGGAAAAGAGAAGATTATTGAGACCTCTAAAGTTGGTAAAACCAAAGGACCCCTCAATTTGAAGAAACCAATAGCTACTCCTCTTACTAGTTCTGTCTCGCCTGCTCTATCTTCGAAACAATCGTCGATCCCCCTCACTCCCAAGACATAATGTGAGTTCTTCCCTTACTCACAAGCAAGCAACCCTTGACAAAGCAAAACACTCCTCAGTCACTGTCACAGAAAACATGGATCCCAACATTCCATTTGCAAATAATGGTGATATGGTTATTGATGATTAGTCAAATGACCGAAACTTAGGAAAGCCACCTAACCCTGGGAAGCTTAGCTGTCATGCTCCTTTGGTTGACCACACTTCCCTTCTTAATATTCGATTGGAACCCATGGAGATTGCTAATGATGATAGCTTTTCTGAGGGACATCCAGTTCCTATGTCTGACTGAGTTGTATTACTCTTCTACCCTTTTTTTCATTTTTATAATGAATTTTAAGGATTTTTGTTGGAATGTACAAGGTTGTGGGCATTCTTGCTTTTGACAGTTGTTAGATAGTGAATGCTTGATCACAAGCCTGATGTTAATGATTTCGTGGAACCTCGTATCAGTGGCCCTCAAGCTGATGCCGTTATTGCAACTTTGGGGTTTCCCAATTCTCATCGTGTTGAAGCAACTGGTTTTTCGGGAGGTATATGGTTTTGTTCGTATGATTCTGTGTCCATTGATATCCTTCATAACCACTTTCAGTTTATTCATTGACGAATTACTTAGAAAAGAGACAATCTAGTTCTTCTTGCCACAGTGGTTTATTCTAGTCCAAACGCCACAAGAAGACGGACTCTTTGGACGCATCTGCATCATCCTTCTCAAATTCGGGGCCCCTGCCCTGCATCCTTCTTGGTGATTTTAATGCCACCTTAGATATTGCTGATCGAAAAGGAGGGACTGGTTCTTCTTTACCTTGTAAAAATTTTCAGGATTTCCCCATGGATTATGGCATCCAAGATATGGCTTTCCATGGTCCTCCTTATACCTGGACTCGGGGTTTCACACATGCTCGTCTCGATAGAGCTCTTTGTAATAGCTATTGGGATGAGCTTTGTCCTGAATCTATTATCCATCACCTTCTCCGTTTTCGATCAAATCATCATCCCATATTGCTTCAGGTTGGTAATCTTCCAAAGAATTCCACCTCTAACCAATTCAGATATTTGTCTAGTTGGTAGTTACATGAAGATTTTCAACGCAGGTTCAAGATAATTGGATGGATAAGGGAAATTGCCAATTTCACTATAGCGGCTGATTCCTGGAACAAATCTGTTTTTGGGTACATCAGATCAAAGAAAAGGATGGTTATGGCTTGCCTTCAGGGTGTTCAAAAGGCACTTCAAACCAGCAACTCACTTTTTCTCCATAATTTGGAAGCCTCTCTCTTAACTGAACTTGAATCTCTCCTTGATCAAGAGGAACTTTTATGGCGTCAAAGATCTCGTGAAGATTGGATTTCCCTTGGAGAATGTAACACGAGCTATTTCAAAAGTAAAACGAAGGTTCCGAAGAAAAAAAAAACAGAATTTTAGCTCTCAAAATTGAAGGTGTTTGGTGCCATGACCATTCCATGCTAAAAACTGAAGTTGTTCGTCACTTCAAGTCTTTATTCTCGGTTCAAGACTCCCACCGTGATGTTTTTCCTTGTCGGGGCAGATTCCCTTTAAATCCTTCGGCCACGTGGGCTGCCTTGGAAACAATTCCATCTCCGGATGAGATTCGTTCTGCTATAAATGACATGGCACCTCTTAAGGCTCCTGGTTATGATGGGTTACATGCCGAATTTTTCCAAAAGCATTGGTCGACAGTTGGAAACTCTATATGCGCATGTATTCAATCTATCTTTAGTGGCGGTTCTCTGGAATATGATCTAAACAAAAATGTTATTGTGCTTATCCCCAAGATGAAAAATACGGACCTTCATGGATTTTCGCCCCATTAGCCTATGCACTGTCATTTATAAAATACTCTCCAAGCTTATTGTTTGTAGTCTAAAGCCAATTATGCCGAGCCTCATCTCTCCAAACCACACCAGCTTTATTTCGGGACACTCCATCACTGAAAATATTATTCTGAATGAAGAGATTATCCATTCCATGTGACACTTAAAGGGTCGTAAAGGCTGGATGATGATCAAGGTTGACCTTGAGAAAGCCTTCGATCAATTATGTTGGGATTTCATAAACGATTCCTTGCATGATGCTGGTTTTCCACTCAGCTTGATTCGTATAATAATGCATTGTGTCACCTCTTCATCTTTTCAAGTTTCAATGGAATGGTGATCTTTCAGAATCCTTCCATCCAAACCGAGACATTCGTCAAGGAGATCCACTCTCACCGTATATGTTTGTTTTGGCTATGGAATGTTTGGGTCACATTATTTCGGAAAATGTTGATGCTAAAATTTGGGATGCTTTCAGCTTCATCAAGAACGGTATTCCTCTTTCCCAGTTCTTCTTCGCAGATGACCTGATCTTATATGCTCGTGCTAATATCCCAGATGTTATTAATTCGGCTTTAGCTTGCTTTGGTCACGACTCTGGACATAGTGTTAACAGGAGGAAAACAACCATATATTTCTCGCCAAATACAAATGAAGCTATGAGATTCTATTAGTGATCGTTTGGGTTTTCAACAAGTCAATGAGTTGGGAAAATGTTTAGGAGTTTCATTTCAACATGGTCGTGTTACGAAGGCTGATTACGCTTTTATTATTGAGAAAATGCGCGCCTTATTGGATGGTTGGGCAGCAAAGACTCTTTCTATTGCCGGTCTTCCAACTTTGGCCAAATCCGTCCTTGCTTCTATTCCAATTTATTTTATGCAAACAACTATGTTTCCAATAAGCGTTAGTAATGAAATTGAGAAGCTTATTCGTCATTTCTTATGGGGTTCAACTGACTCAAGAAACTCTCCCTCCATTATTAATTGAGATCGAATTTGCCAACCGATTGACCGCGGTGGGCTAGGACTTCGACGAATTCGTGATCAGAATCAGGCGCTCTTGATGAAAATTTGTTTCTCCCTTATCAATAAGCCTAATGCCTATTGGATTCGGATTTTGAGCCAAAAATACAAAATGGTTGATTTATTTCGCATCTCTATTCGCAGGTCCTTCACTTCGCCTCTGTGGCGCTCCTTATCTGCTATTCGGGACTCATTTCGACCATGCATTGCTTGGTCAGTTGGTAACGGTTCATTAGTGAATTTTTGGGATGATATATGGCTTCTTGACCTTGGCCCCTTGCGAGATCACCTGCAAAACTCAATGCAATTCATCCCACACTGCAGTTTTATTGATGTAGTGAGACAAGATGGGGAATGGGACATTGACTCACTTGCTCCTTTATTAACTAGCACTACTATAAATCAAATACATGGCATTCTTCCTCCACAGGTAACGGATGCTAATGATCGACGTATATGGCTATGGGAGCGAAATCACAACTTCAGTGTCTCATCAGCTTATGAGTTCTTATCTTCCCAATTTATGGTGAATTCAAAGCACACAATGGAAACTCATTTGGAACTTGTAAATTCCGCAGCGTATTCTCCTCTTCTTTTAGACCCTTCTTCAATGCCGTATCATGACGAATTTGGAGAGGTGTAAGCGTAGATTAACTACTGATGCTTCTTGCCCTTTGATGTGATCCAATTCAACATCATATTTACCATGGCTATTCCAACCTCTCCAGGGAAGAAACTTTCTATCTTTATACCTATAGATACTTATTTCATATGTTATAAGATAGTTATTTTCATATATATATATTATAACTATAGTTATTATGATAATAAATTATCCATTTATATATGAGATACAAGTTACTATAGTCACATTTTTTATAATATACAAGTTTATATACTTAGTTTATTTTTATGTTACGCATATAGGCACATTCGACCAACACTTGGGAGCTGCATTGGAGCTAAATGGAGCATATAACAGCAAGGAAACTTACATGGGATCGATTCGGAGAACACAAGGAACAATTGGTGAAAAGCTGTCCGGAGGCCGTGAGCTCATAGCTGGATTGAGCTGAAGATTTGAGCTACAAGATGAACTCATTTCAGCTGGGGAGTTACACCATCATCATCACCACTTAGGACACTTCAAATATGTCCGAAGTCAAAATTTGTGAAATGGTACCTTTTCGCGAATAGTTGCCACCTCGAGAGGTACCTTTCCACAAGGAGCTGCCCAAACGTTCATCATGTTACAAGTCATCTAAGGCCAGCTCACCACCAGCTCATTCACACCTTAAATAGCTCAAACATGAAGGGACACCTTTCTCAAACATTGTGACATTTCATGAATGATGCTGCCCATGAAGATACCTTTTGATCTAGAAGCACGTTGGTGAAGAAATTGAAACCATTGGAAGCTTAAATCATCATGAGGAAGAATGCCATGCATATTCAGCCACATCACATGGCATGCACATGAGAGCCTTTGGAGCCAAACATGATAAAGCACATGACTATTCGGCCAAGGAGAGGAAATTGGCGCCAAGATGAACAAGCATGAACCATTCGGCCAAGGGAGATGTCTCTCCACCCTTTGACCGAATCATTAAGGCCTTTCATGAAGAGTTAGCCGAACCATCAAAAGCCCAAAAGACTTATTCATTCAACTCAAGCATTATGTATTTTCCTAGAAACATGTATCTAGCCGAAACAACTTGTAACCATTCGGCCAAGCCCTCTCATTTCCTATAAATAGAGTGGCTTGCCTTCATTTGTACCCATCTCATCTCATATATTAAAAATTACTCTTGTGAGTTAATTTCTCTTCAAAGTTCTTTGTGAACTTTATCGATTAAGCAAGTATAATTTCCTATACTTGTGGCGTCATTCCTTCCAAATTGATTCCTAAATTCCTAGATTAATATCTAGTGGGTTGAAGACACTATCACCACCCCTCAAGCAAGTTTGTGAAGATCGGGATTGTGCTCTTTAGCATTGTTTTATCTTTGGCGTGTTTGAGATACAAATCACTACCATTTCCATTTCATCAACAACACCATCATCAACATCCATCAAGACCATCAATTTCGCAGCCATCTCTTTCATTTCTGTCTATTTCATTTCCTTTATTATATATTCATTTCTTAAGTCCATTATTAATCATATTTTCTTATCTTATTTTGCAGCCCAAACTTATAAATTCAAGGACACCAGTACTTGTCAATCCTAGATCGGAACACAATAAGGCTATCTACTCTTTTCCATCAAAGCGTGTAGATTCGCCTTACATCAAGCGGTAATCAGAGCATAGTTGGATTGACAACAAAAGTGTCATTGGCATGCAAAGCAAAAAGAAGTTCAAAAGAGAAAAAGACTCCTTCAACAAATTGGAGTGCAAAAAGAAGACAAAAATCAGAAAAGAAGAGAAAAATAAGAAAAGAAGAAAGGAAAAGAAAAAGAGAAGTTCAAAAAGAGAAAGCAAGCCAAGGAAAGTGCTCTGCCATTACAAATACATCAAAGAGGCCTATCTACACTAAGAGAAGATAACCTTATTGTTTTCTTGAGAAAGGTTGCAGTAAGTGTTGTTTCTTGAATTGTAAGTCACATCTTCCTTTTGTATCCTTTCATCTTCCTTGTCTTCAACCATTTCATTTTTTTTAAATACCTTTGAATCCTTTCTTCTACCTTTCCATTTCTATTCTTTCTACCTTAACCATATTTGCAGCCGACGCACATAAGGAAGGAATTAACTTGTTCTAATCTTGAGTAAGTTCTTCAAAGGACTTAGCAAGAGAAATTGAGTGGAAAAAGTCTATTGAGAGAGTGAGATCAGAAGGGGAATTGTTAAAAGCCAAGATATATTCCCGAGAGTAAACACGAGTGTTGAGTGGAGTGATCTTATCTTTTCTTTGGAGTGAAATTGTGAGACTTTGTGAGTGTGCTGGTAAGGTTTATTTTTTTGTTTTATTTACTAACCATGTCTCAAAGTCCTAAAGGAAATGCAGGTCAAACCAATTTGCAAATGCAAGCACTGATTGGAGAAATGATGAGAATGTTTCGAACAGAATTTGATGCTCTCCATGAGAAACTAGACCAAAGACAAGATCAACCACAAACCAAAAACAATGATACTCCTCGTAGGCAACAACCTCTTCTAGAAGATGATGTTCCAAATCCTTATAATGAAGAAGAACCAGCATTGATACAAGGACCTAGGCGTGCCAATGTTGATGATAATATAAGAAACATCAAAATCAAAATTCCTCAATTCCAAGGAAAGACTGATCCAGAAGCCTATCTTGAATGGGAAATCAAGGTGGAACATGTGTTTAGTTGCCATAACTATTCCGAACTCAAGAAAGTAAGATTGGTAGCCATGGAGTTTGTTGATTATGCTTTGATATGGTGGGATCAACTTACTATTACTCGAAGAAGGAATGGAGAGAGACCAATTTCAACATGGCTCGAAATGAAAGGTATCATGCGTAAACGTTTCATTCCTACTCATTATCACCGAGACATGTTTCAGAAATTGCAGAATTTGAAACAAGGCCAACGGAGTGTGGAGGATTATTATAAAGAAATGGAAGTGGCAATGATCCGAGTCAATATTGAGGAGGATCGTGAAGCAACCATGGCTTGATTTCTTGCTGGACTCAATCCTGAGATTGCCAACACGCTAGAATTGTATCATTACATCGAACTTGATGAAATGGTGCAAATGGCTATGAAAATAGAAAGGCAACTTCGGAGAAGACCTATCTCTCGTACTTCAGTGTCTACATCTTCAAGATGGAGTCCAAACAGTAATTTGAGGAAGTCTACTCCTATTCCTACCAAAGAAAAGGCCGAATCATCAAATGCATCTCAACTTGGTAAGGAGAATCGAGGAAAAGAGATCCCTGAACGAACAAGAGACATCCGTTGCTTTAAATGTCTTGGGAGGGGGCATATATCCACACAATGTCCCAATAG